TATTTATTCTTTTTTTTTGTTTTTACACTTTTTTCCCCTTTGTTTTTGCTTTTCTGATTTCAGACAGTTGGCGCCATCTGCATTCAGGCACCCGTTTTCAAAATCCCTCTTTTGGGACTTTCGGACACTTGGCGCCATCCGACATTCTGGCGCCCACTCTGAGACTTTCGATTTCAGTTTTGGCCCTGAGGCATTTCCACTTCCGCCCTCAGGACCGTACTTGAGTCCAATACTTGTGTACGGACTCAAGCACAGTATGGGCAACCACTTTTCAGCCTTAGTGCTTGTGTTCAGTGTGACTTCGCTGCGACATTGTGTTCAGGAATTCAAGACTGCGACTTTGCGCCTTTGCCACTTTGTGTCTGTGTCCGTCGAGTCGTGTCGAGTCTGTGTTGAGTTGAGTGAGCATGTGTGTGTGCTATCACTCTCCCTCTCTCCCCAAGCCTCACTGCTTTGCCTCTGCCTCATCACACTGGTATCGGAGCGGCATCGATTGGCCTTCCGCCCGCCCTAATCGACGCGGAGCAGCCTTGTCATCATCATCTCCATCGTCGACACTGCCACGTCATCATCGCCATGTCTTCGTCAATGACATTGCCACGCAATCATCATCGTCATCGACATTGCCACGTCATCGTCATCGTCGCCGTTGCCACATCATCAACAATCCTAGAATCGCTGACAACACGCAGGTACGCTATTATTATTTTTTTCTTTTCTTTTCTCTTCCTTCTTTTCTCTTTCCTTTCTTATCTCTTCTTCTCCGTCGCTTCTCCCTTCGTTTCCCCCCTCGTCGTCCTCATTGTTCCCCCCCCCCCCCCCCCCCGATCGTTCTCTGAAATCGAAACCCCGAAATTGAAATCAATTCGATTTCGATTCGATTATGGAATCACCAAAATTGAAACCCCGAAATCAAAATCAATTTGATTTGCCCCACATCCTCGATCTTCATCATCTTCATTCTTCCTCCCCCCCCCCCCACACGTCATTGTCATCGTCGTTGCTGCCACGTCATCAATGATCCTGGAATCGTCG